AAAAATAGAATAGTCTGTGGTCTGATATGGTCTTTAAACACGATGTCATGATACTAGTGACACAAGAATTTGGGACTCTGGGGTGGGGAATCTTCTCTATGGGCACACTCCTATGACTTAGCAATCTTTATTTAGTCTTGTACAAAAAGTTTGTCAACTTTGTGTATCTTAAATGCCTGCATACAGGAGAGTGAATAATAATCATTGTGTAACATGGAAGCTATGACACTATAGTTCTTAAAGATGTTGTGTTTCCATGGCATCACATCAATTAGTGTATACAGAAATGCCTATTTCAAAGTAAAACATCTTCATCCAAAATCCCATGAATTTTATAGTGCTCCATCCACGTGCATATTATTAGGATCAACAGTGACTATGAGAGGACACATATGCTGAAAATACCAGAGTCTGTGACCTTAGCTACAGATTGTCTTCTTCAGCAACCTCTTCATGGACTCTTTGATTTCCTTGTTCCTCAAACTGTATATCAAAGGGTTCAACATGGGAATCACCACAGTGTAGAAGACAGATGCAAATCTGTCGAAACTGGAGGAGCCACCAGAACTTGAACTCAAATAGACAAAGATACTGGAGGTGTAGAATAGGGAAACAGCTGTCAGGTGAGAAGTACAGGTGTTTAATGCCTTGAATCGGCCTTTAGATGAAGTGATCTTAAGGATGGACAAGATGATATAGCCATAGGATATCAGGATGGCTAGTACATTTACAAACCCAAAGATCATTGTTAATATGGCTGTCAGGACTTGGACGAAGAAAGTGTCTGTACATGACAGAAGTAGCAACTGCGGCATGTCACAGAAGAAGTGCCTGATGACATTAGGTCCACAGAAGTGGAGGTGAAGTAAAGCAAACAGCTGAAGTAAGGAAGCAGTGAGCCCAGACATATAGGATGCCACCACCATCAGAACACAAAGAGTGGGTGACATGATTGACGAATAGAGCAGCGGGTTACAAATGGCAGCATACCTGTCATAGGCCATGGCTGTCATGAGGCAAGACTCACTCAGCCCTATGATGGAAAAGATAAAATTCTGAACAATGCAGCCCACAAAGCTGATGGCTTGTTTTTCCTGGAAAAAGTTTGAGAGCATTTTTGGGACTGTGCAACTAATGTAGCAAAAGTCGATGATGGACAGGTTACAGAGGAAGAAATACATGGGCGTGTGAAGGTGGGAATCCATTCTTATTAAAACAATGAGGGACAGGTTCCAAGTCAGAGTTGTAATGTAGATGAGCAAGAATGTGACAAAGAGCAGCGTTATGATTCTGGGGAAATCTGAGAATCCCAGCAGGATGAACTGGGTGATCTTGGTGCTATTTCCCCTTGTAATCATGTCCTCAACGTTCCTAAGATCAGAAAAGAGACGAGTAAGTACATAGTTGACCAACGTGAAACCAGAGCTTTACTATTTCCACATTATCTCTCTTTTTCTCTTATAATTCCTGAGAAAAGAAGAAGTGCCTCATTTTCCTGTGGAAAGACTTCCGTTTTCCTCTCAAATTTCCAAGAAGACTCTGAGAGGCACTGGGGAAGGTGGGAGAATATGAACAAGCACATTGCGTGAAATTTTCAAAGAATTAAAAAAAAAATAAAGAAATAGAACCAGACATGGTGGTGCATGTCTTCAATCCCAGCCCTGTGAAGTCAAAGGCAGGCAAGTCTCTGCTCCGGGCCAGCCAACACTATGTAGTGAGACTTTGTCTCAGATAAAAAAGAAAAGTAATGCCTGGCGATGGTGGCGCATGCCTTTAATCCCAGCACTTGGGAGGCAGAGGCAGGCGGATCTCTGTGAGTTCGAGACCAGCCTGGTCTACAGAGCTAGTTCCAGGACAGGCTCCAAAACCACAGAGAAACCCTGTCTTGAAAAACCAAAAAAAAAAAAAAAAGTAATACCCTGTTAACAAAGAATGTGAAGTAATTTAGCATATTTATGATACTTTCTAAAAGTTTTTTAAATAAGTGTATTTAAGTCTCCAAACTGGGAAACGTTCTAACCTATAATTCTGCTCTGTTTTGGCGGAGTGGGACTGTGTATACATTTCTCCTCAGCAGCCTTCATAGGAACGTGCTCCAAAGGAGGCAAGTAGACTTCACTATTTTATGTCCCCAGGATTATTTCAATGTTAGTGTATGTTGCTTCTTGAGAAAGATCCTGAGTTGTGGTGAAGAGTTTGGTGTTTAGAGTCCAAACCCTCTATTAAACTGTCCTAAGTGACTAAGATACACTTATTTTGGCTTGATCAATAAAAAGTTAATAACAATAAAATGCTCAAATGTTTGCAGAGAGAGTTATGGCTGAAAATGGAGGCCAGTGCACAGCACACAACCAGGTGTGTAGGCGCTGTTCAGCAGATAATGATTGTTATCACTGAGAGCTGACAATACATCATGAGAGACAGCTGCATTTGATAGAAGTGTTGGGGTTGATTTTTTTTCCTTCTTGAGAAATTGAGAACTTTCTCATCAACCCTGTGGATAGCGAGGTATACTTGCGTTAAGTAGAGGCCTATCGAGGCCCTGACCCATAAAAGTGAAACTTCTTTGGGTTATGAAGACATGTGCCCTCTTAATTACTTTTTAAAATTAGTTTGCTTGGCTTTAGATGAGAAAAGATCACAGGACAGCCAACATCAAAATGGGACTGACTTTGATAGAGAGAAAGGTTCAAAGTAAATGAATGCTTCATTTTCAAAATTATAGAGGTATAATTGTTTTATACAATTCTTGAGTTGGGATTCACTAATAGTAGCATTATTGTTTATAAATAATGTTTATAAATAATGTTTATAAAACCTATTGTTTATATTCCATGGCACACCTTGAGATGAAAGGGACAGTTCAGTGACAGCAGACAAAATAATTTCCTTCATCCATTAACTGATGGAACAGATTCAGAGATCCACAACCAAGCACTAGGCTGAGCTCCGGGAATTCAGTTGTAGAGAGGAAGGAGGTCAAGATCATGATGGAGAAATCTATAGAGACAGCTGAACCAAGCTCGTGGAAAATCATGGACTCTAGACTGACAGCTGCAGAGCCTCCAAGGGACTGAACTAGTCCTCTACATGTGGGAGACAGTGCTGAAACTTGAACTATCTGAGGGATCCCTGGCAGTAGGACCAGGATCTATCCCTGGTGATTGAGCTAACTTGTTGGAGCTCATTCTGTATGGTGGGATGCTATGCTCAGTCTTAATGCAGGGGGAGGGACTTGGTCCTGCCCCACTTTAATGTGTCAGGCTTTGTGGACTCCCCATCAGTGCCCTTACACATTGAGAGGGGTGGATGGGGGGTGAGTTGGTGGGAAGGCAAGGGGAGGTGGGAGGATGGGTAGGAGGGAACACTGTGATTGGAATGTAACATAAAATTTAAAAATTAATATAAAAGATGAATAAAGCACTTGCACTTTCAGATACAAATACTATAGACACTGATAATTCATCATTCTTAGAATAGCAGGAGTGAATCCAAAGAACAAATACCTTGTTTGGAAATAAATGTCAATATTGGTGAGGTTTTTCTGTGTGCTAATGGTAGTATTTTAAATTAATAGGAGAAAGGAAAAAAAAGAAAAAATAGTAGAAAGAAAAACTCTTCTATAAATTTTATGTGAGAACTTACTAGTCCTCACATATTGAACTTACTGAAGGATGAAAAGATTCATTTATATGACACTGAAGTAGAAAATACATTTCAGAGCCATAGCAATAAAACAGTCTTAGAGGAAATAGGATTTAAATCTCTTGGCAGGAGAGCTGCTGGCAGCTTACAGCTCCCGAGGGAGGGAGAGTCACTCTTCTATGGGAAATTGACCACTGATTTCTTGCTTTCTTGCATCCCTGTGGATGGCCACACATCCACATGCATAGTGTAGCGCTAATTGGACTTGGGGGTTGTTAACAGCTAAAACATAAAGGAGGACATGAAGTTGTGAGAGTAATGAGGAGATTCTCTAGGGGGGATTGAAATGAGGTAATGGATATGATCAAAGTATATTGTTTAAATATATAAAAAATTAACAAATAAGTAAATAAATATTTTTTTCTTAAAAACAGTGAATTGGAGCCAGGAATATTGGCACACATCCACAGTTCCAGCACTTGGGAGGTAGAGGCTGGTAAAACTCTATGAGTTTGAAGCCAGCTTGGTCTATTTAGTAAATTCTAGGCATAGCAGCATTACATAGTGAGACCCTGCCTCAAAAAATATAGTAAATTTGGAAAAAGAAATAATTACAAATTAATTTTGAAAATGACAGCAAAGTAATACTTGTGATATAAAAATAAACCACTGACAAATGCTTGAAGTATTTTGCTTTACAGGAAGAATCAATTCTTATATAATTCTCTCTTTCTCTGTGTCTCTTACACACTCACAGACACTACATACACAGAGACACACACACACTACACAATACTCACACACAGGGACATACACACACACACACTCTCACACACACTCAAACACCACATAAATAATTTACAATACCAAACATTAAATGTGGTGAGTAACTTGGATGTTTCACTACTATGTGATAAATTTTAAATACAGTAATGCTAGCATGATTTAGTAATTACGTTAAACACATTAATAAGTCCCTCTCTCACTATTGGAGAAATGCTCTGTGTTTCAATGGATAAAGGACAAGCTAGAAACAAGCTTTTGGAGTCTGCAATATCTTAGCAAAGACAGCATTTCATTTTGTGAGACTCACGCCTCGATATTGGTAGAGGAAAGTGTGCCAAGTGTTTTGAAATAAAACTCCTAAGAAAATACACAAATAAACCCAGTTTGGACATGCTGCTAAGAATGTCCTCTTTTGGTTTAATTTTTATTTAGCTTTTAAGAATGTTGGGGGTTCTTTCTTTCTTTCTTTGGGTTTGTTGAGGTTTTTTTTGACGTTTTAATTTTTAATGGACAGATAGTTGTACATACTTATGGGATATAGTGTGACATTTTAGTACATGTCTGCAATGTAGTGGCAATTTAGTACATGATGTAATGTAATGATAAATATTCTTAGAGTGATGCTAACACAATTTCTGAGTACATGCTGTATATGAAATTAAATGAAGCCATCTTTAAATTGTGTACTTTCCCAGATTATTATTACACTCCCCAAATCACCAACAGCAAGCGAAACTCCTGATCCAGCGGGTCACTTAAGTTCAGTACTATATCATGCATTCTGGTGACAGGGTTGCCAGCCTTGTGGTGTTCATTTTAGTCTGGAGGGGAAAAAAAAACTGACTGGTTCAGTTCAGGCTGGTTTTCTTTTTTTACATAATTGTAATTTCATGTAATTACATGATGTTTTTCATGTAACTATTTACAAAAACTGGGGAAAGGGAAATATTTCTAAATATACTTACTCTCTTTGAAGAGGGCTTTGCAGGAGTTCAGCATTTCCCAGATGAGCGAAGCGAGGCTGGATTGGTATAAACACTGGCTGGAGATTTCATTCTGTAAGTCTGGTTAATCCAGACCACTGCCAATCTGGTTCTAATGAAAACATAGTCAGGTGGACTGACACAAAGCTGGGGCTGCTGTTCAATAGAATTCAAGCAAAGAAACTTCAATGGGACTACAAGGCCGGTTCTCTCTGCCTATGCTGGCCATCTGTTACCTGGGCTTGTGCTACCTGGGCTTGTGTTACCTGGGCTTGTGTTCCAGACTCTGGGACTCAGGAACAACAGGAGCTGTCTGGAGTATTCCAACAGGGCTGATGGACATGCGCATCAGCCCTCTGCCATGGAATCACTGTTCATTTTTGTCTCTTGCTCCTCAGTCGTCATGAATCAATGCTCTTTATTTAAATGGAAACGAAATTACTATGACTTTCAAAGCTAAATCCCCAAGGACAAAAATTAAAAGTGTCCTTTGGGTGGGAGACATTGGGAAACACAGACAAACACGTTTGGATCTTAGGAAATTCCCCCCGAAACTCAGTAAATTACTGTTTTTGATTAAACTCTCAATTACTGACTTTTACAATAACTCATGTTTCATATACATTTTTATTCAAATATAGATGGTCATATTATTGTCATTTTATGGGTAAAATATAGGAGGGTAGCAAAGTTCAGGGTCATATTTTAAGATAAAACATAACTACAATTCAACACTATCACTTACCATATGGCAATGCCTTGATGTTTCTGAGCATTCTTTTTATACTTCAGAGAATTTAAGTTAAGAGAAAAAGAACCCAAGGAAGAGTTCTAGGTGGAAGGTGAGGAAGTGAGGGATAGTATATGTGGGGTTTTCTGTCCTGCCATCCTGCTCCTAAGTAACCACACAGAGGCTTATTATAAATTATAAGTGATGGCCGATATCT